TTTTATATGTGAGTTTTTAATGTGCCAGTGTAGAATGGATATATATTGTTATATCTTACGGCAGTGTGTAAATGTATTATTGTGTTTCTTAATTTCATGTTGTAGTGTAATGTCCATTGATTTATGTGGCAGTGATTTCATGTATTAATTTTATACTATCAAAAAATGTATGACTATTTTCATGTATGAATTCCACACTGCCCAAAAATGTATAGCTCTTTTTATGTATGAATTCCACACTATTTTCATGTATGAATTCCACACTGCCAAAAATGTATATGATTGTTTTCATTTATGAATTCCACACTGCCCAAAAATGTATGACTGATTTCATGAATAATCTATTACACCAAAACACACAGGCCAAACATGGGCTTGGCTGTTTTTGGTTTTTCTTGATTTTGTATAATGTTAGAAGATGTTAGTATTAGACATATGCTGAATTTCATTTATGTGGTACTGAAAAGAAATGGATAATGCAGATATTATGTTGTAAATTTTAAGACTTTGTAAGCAGCATAAACTGCAACATTATTTAAAATTGTGCAACATAGCACACTGGCCAAAACATAGGACATAACACACTTCATACTTTGTTTATTAAAGTTATTCAAGCACTAGTCATTTTGGTGATTTTTTTGTGTCCGCTTCCAATGGAACTCAATGAATAATTTATTACATTGGGATTTTTAGATATAAATCCCATTCGACCAAAACACACTAGGCAAACATGGTCATAGGACATTTCCAAAAAGTGTAGCTAGAAGTTGATTATTCCACACTGTCAAAAAAATATCAGCCTCTATTCAGTAACATGTTTCCATAACGAACTCTTGAATGTTCAAACCCAATAGTTATAGAACGAAGCACATGGCTTTTGCACAATATCAAATTCAATTCATAATTCATAACATTGGCAGTTTTATATATATGTCTAATTTCACTGCCATATTATTAATGGAAGTTAATGAAGTACATACAAATTTGTTTAGGTCGCTAACTTTTATACACTGCCATATTTTCACTCTTGTCTGCCACATTATATATAGAAGACAAATTCACTGCCAAAAAGTGTTTGCATAACATGATCAATCTGTACTGCCCATATATTTATAGCCACCATATTGAGTAACACATTTCATAACAATCTCTTTCATGGTAAAACTCTATTGTCATAAAATCAACCACAAGCTGTTTGCACAATATGAAAGTCAAATAATAATTTATAACATTGGTAGTTTTATATGTAAGTCACATTGTCACCACTTGTTTATAAAAATTTTTATGTAGTTTTTTAATATATAATTCCTATTTTTTAATTATACAACAATGTTTACTTATATTGATTTAAAAATAACTCCAATCAAACATCGTAAATCGAATAAGAGCCCTATTTTGGGATGAAGGAAGTATTTATAATTGGCATATTTTTATGATATAATTTTGATATATCGTATTTTTATTATATATATTTATTCAAAACTACATTTAATTGATTGACGAAAGAATTTGATAAAAAAAGAGTACTATGCCACTATGCACAAAGTATACATTATGTGAGTCCGAATTTGATATAGGAGTTGAAAGAGGAATTGAAACAATTGATAGTGGGATAGATAAAAGCGATTGACAACATAAAGGATATGATTGGAAGAGATTGACAACATAAATAGCTAATTTGGTAAAAAGCAATAAGCAGTGCTAAATGCGTAGTATTAGATGAGTTAGAGTGCTACGTAGGGTGATTTTTATAATATAATTCCTAAATCCTACTCCAAGTCGGCGAAGGAAACCCTTTCTCCCCATCTTTATATATACTATCTTTATATACGGAGTACGTAAACGATAGCAGCGGATTCCTCCAAGTCGGCGAAGGAAACCCTTTCTAAATTATGATTTATTGGAAATTGATGAATCGATGGAGAACGAGGTACCGTACCCAAACCCCCTTTTGTTCTGCCCTGCTGCCGGTAGCTGGAACCCGGCGGTATACCAGTACCGTACCGACAGTTGCAGTTCCGTTATTTGTTTGTTTGACCCAATTTGGAACCCGAATTGACTTTGAAACTTTATGTGTCGCATGATGGTAAGTAGAAGGTGTTTACACCTGACGCTAGACCGCTATTTGTTGAATATGAATGCTTATTTAACGTATCATGATCTTGTATGAATCTGAAATATGGAATTATGAACTTGAATACGGATAGGCTACCTAGATGAATCAAAGGTAGACCGAGAAAACAGAATAAGGAATACAGTTAGGAATAACTGGTCATGTGATGAGCCAGCGTGCATGCATGATCAGTTGGGTAGAGCGTGCGCACGGGGGTCGTAGATCTGCTCATGGATGTGAGTAGGTGGTCCCACCCAGCCAACGTTGGATGACGTCGTATCGAGCGGGTTCTTCCATGGATGTGGTTGAATCAGGACTCTAGAATAAAGTAGTTGGCCTTAGCCTAGGATAGGTTATGAGCCTAGAGATGAAGAAGTGGATTATGAGATAAATTTGGTAATTATGGTAGTTATGCCTAATTGATGAATTACTTGATATTGATGATGTTATTGATGTTGTACCTGTGTGCATGATATTGTATGAAGTTATGAGCTAGTGGGTTTGTCTATGTGCGTAGTCGAAACGTTAGATAGTTCTCACTTAGCTTCAATGCTGAGCGTGTAGCCCTTTTTCCTATTTGCTACACGTAGGTAACAAGAATGATGAATAAGGAAATATCTTGGAGGGCAGCAAGGGCAGAGAGGTGGATGGATGCTGGCTGGAGGAGTTATCTAGTTTAATTATTGCATTTAAGTTAATTATGTTTTTAAGGGCAAAAACCCAAAGTTGTATTTTGATTAAGTACTTAAAGGCTTCCGCACCGTTTTGTTAACTCCGATGGATGTTTAAATATTGTTTTGAACTAAATTTTTTAAATTGTTTTGAAAATTATTTTGTCTGAATACCAATTTAGTAGCAACCTGGTTCGCTAACTCGTTGGTTCGGGTTACACGGGTTGGGGTGTTACATAGTTCTTTGGTTGGGTAGTCTTATAGGTCATAGAATGTGTGTTAAAGAGTATGGCATCTCTAAGGTTCATTCCCTTTATTATTTTACCTTCAAAACAAATTTTAGATCAGCCCTTGTGCAGAAGTTGCTCTTTTATCCGAATAACCTTTAATTTATTCGAATAAATCATGATTTCATCCAAGGACTGAAAAGGGACTATTTTATTCAAATAAATTGGTCCTTATTCGAATAAAGACCAATGTTTTTCAATCCACAAAAGCCTTCTGACATATTCGAATAAACGGACAGTTTTAACTTCCAAACGGCTAGCTTTTTGAATGTTTTTCATCCCTATCCACTCCCTAACTTCTATATACTCCTATATCTTGTGTTAATCTTAGTAAGAACATCAAGAACTCATACTTTCGGAAACATTCATCAGAGGAAAAAGACTCTGACTATAACACTCGAAGGAGTGCAAGGCATCTAACAGCATCTACCCTCTCTTTGTCAAATGCAAGAGATCATCTACTAAAGTGAAATCCGACAGGTTACCATGAGTTTACTCTTAATGTCAATGGAAGCAATAAGATAGTAGAAAATAGGGCTTTGTGCGGCGAAGTCATTCGCAACAGCAGTGGAGATTGGTTTGGTGGTTTTCCTATAGAACCACGCCGAATAATATCGAGAAAATTGAGGCTAAAACCATTGAGAAAGGCATTCAATGGGCATGGGAAAGAGGGGTGAGGGATCTTGAAGTGCAGACTGACATTAGAGAAGTTGTCAAACATGTTACAGGGTTGACGAGTTTGAGGAGACCCATCAACGACACCATTACAGCGATTAAGAGCTGAAGGACAAGTTTCGTAGAATCAGCTTCAAAGCCATCTTTCGTGAACGAAACGAGGTTGCAAATTGTTTTGCTAACCTTGATGCTTTTCAAGACATTGTTTGGAGAACTTTTGAAGTTGCAACTGCGAACCTAAAGAACTTTAGTGACGACATTTACAACTATGTGAAATGCTACCTCCGCTTCACAAGACTACTAGCTCGGGTCTCCCCCACCTTTTTGATAAAAAAACATTTTTCTAACATGAAATATTAAAATTACACAAATTCTTGTATGAACCTTAGTCCTCATTGTACTTTTATATAAGCCGAATTAAAATTTATTTACTACTCAGATATGCATTTTGTAATTGTTTTTTTAAAATCAATAAAAATGTGAAGTTAATGTGACTTTAGGGCCATGATAGACACTCAAAAAATTGGTGTAAATGGTGATAAGGTTTTGATAGCTTGGGGTTAGTTTCAAAATTACAGAGTTTTGGATTTAAAAAATTGTTAACAAAATTCATACTCCGTTTGGTACACAGAATTTAAACTATGGAATTGGAAATAAGGACAAGAATTCAAATTCTATTGTTTGGTCAAAAATGATTTGAAATTGACGAATTCAATTCCATCCAAATCAATTCCAAATTATTTGAATTCTCAATTCAATTCTAATTCCATCAATTCTGTGTACCAAACAGACCCTCAAAGATGATTGAAACGAACATGAAAAGACCTGGAAATAAATGCCAAACCCAGCGAAATCCAATTTCCACCTGTCCACTAAGATAGGAATGAGTATGCTTTAACATGAAGAGTTCAGTTCTACTTTGGACCTAAGGTCCATGTAATAGTGCATAGTTGCATATTCCTTCTCACATAAGCAAAATAATATTTTAAAAAATTAAATAAATATGTATCATGAAAATGCTTATTTAGCTACTAAGAAGGTCCATGATTTCTTGGGTGAAGCTTAGAACCACCAAAAAATCACCTAATAACAAGATGAAGTAAGAATAAATGTGAACCACACAAATAGAGAGAAATAATGGTGAAACAAACAAAAAGGTAAAAAAGAACAAAAATATTGACACATGGAGAGTAATGTATTATTGCACTTTTACGTGAAATACGAGTATTAGCATAAATTTAAATATTTTAAAGCTAAACACTCAAAACTCGTCGAGTCGATTAAAACAAATGACACTAAGTCATGAATATGCATTTCCCAATGCAAGCCAAACTGACCTAAACACCAGAAGTAACCTTGAACACAAAGTAGCCTGAACCGAGAAGAACTGAACTCAAACCCCACTTGACCAACCTATTTGAGAGCTCCACTAGAGTTAGAGAACATATATTACGCGGATTGAATAAGCCAACCCAATCAATATCCATTAAAAGAGCACAACAAAAAAAACAGGAAAAAACATAGGACAAGCAGTCTCTGCATTTTAAAAATGCATTTTGGGCTCAAAATGTTCTCATTTCAAAGTGAACGATGCTGTCTGAATAAGTACAGTTGAGATGGTGCTAGAAACTAGGCTCGTTAGCTGGAGCTGGAGCCGAAGGGGGTGCAGACGTGTAGTTACCTGACAGAGGGTTAGTTGCAGGGGGGGCACTTACGGTAGGATTAGCCTGGTATGTTGCTTGCAGAGGGACTGGATTACTGCTTGAAGTAGCAGTTAGAGCTACTCCAATAGGCACCGGTGTGGCAGAATTTGGTATCGGCATATCACTGCTGGGTTGCATGGGTAAAGGTGGTCCCACCTGGGGTTGTCCAGGAACTGGTGCAAGCATCGGAGGCACTGCATAAGCTGAGATGAGCATAAGACCCATCAAATTATGTAAGAACAAATTAATTTTAGAAATGTAATAACCTGCCCTTCCCGGGGGTCCAAGTCTAATTCTTAGTATTCGTGTAAAAGAATGCAAAAGCAAAGCAGAGGAATGTGAGGGTCAATTGGGAGCCAATTTGTAACTAAGGGCACAACAGAAGAACGGTCAATATAGTAAAATCTTTCAGAATTTACCTGGAGCGCCTTGAGGAGGTCTAGGCAGTATGGGAGGCCTTACTCCAGGGGGTAATTGGGGATATGGGGCTCCAGGAATAGGAAGAAGATGAGGTGGCATGATAGGCATGCGGGGTGGTTGGCCTGGGAATGCTGCAAGATGTTGAGTATATGCGGCGCCAATTTGCTGGTATGCTGCTGCCTGCCCAAGGCGCTCTTTGATCCTTTGATCTATCAAAGCCTGTGTTAGCTGTTCCTCAAACTTTTGATAATAACTCCTTACATTTGCCTGAACATTATTCAGCATCAAGAGGAAAAACACAGGGATTAAATATCATCGTGTTAGGAATTAGGATAAGATCTAGTGATTCAAAACATGAAAATGTACCTTGTGTTTGTATCCAGAATTGTGCTGCTTTCTGACTGAAGGCTAATAAACCACATTAGAAACTCATTAGTACAGAAACAAAGATTTTCTAATAAAAATGTCATTCAAGCGGCTTTGAGTAGTAAAAAAGACATATTTCAACTACACAATACAGTGTCATGACATCAACTGACATTGACTAATGAAAAAATCAGAGCACTGTACTCGGGATGAAACTAGAAAAAAGAATGAACCAATGTACAGTACTCTAATACTCACTTTGTCCCAGTGTATTTGTCGAATTTTCCTTTTTCTGTTGTCAAATTTTCCACTTTTTATTTGTGAAAATATTTTTGGTCTCACTTAAACAAGTCTACGCTCAATCTATTCACTCTCACCTAAAAAGTAAGGGTAACTTTTGTAGCATACACCAAAACCTTTTCCCACCTTAGTGCAAGTGCCAAAAGAAACTGGACAAATGCATGAGCACAGGGTCATATGGTTTTTAGTTTATCTAAGGTTTATAATTTATACACTAGTATACCATATGAATGAATGAAGAAACACTCTCAAGAGGATTCCTGACTCCTGAGTTAATTAAAAGGTAGCCACATCCCACATATGAAGACATGAAACCAAGTATGTTCACATCACTCTTTTCAGACTTATGTCCATTAAATATTAAGCATTAAATACCCTTATTTTGTTAGATATGCATTCAGCATAATGAAAACCTTTTGAGTAAAAGCAATATTATTTGAAATTTTCTATATAATTAAAGACGAGATTAAAAGGCGGAGTTTAAGGCTCTGTTGCAACACTAAGGGTCTGTTGACGTGGGCTGTAAGGAGGGATAAGGAGAAAAAGTAAGGGGGTGTAAAAGAACCTTGTTTGGATGCTTTAAGAAGACAAGTGAGGGTGTAAAAGAGTAGCACTTACTCTCCTTAATACCTATTTACTCTCCATCTCCTAATTCTTGAAAATGGAGTAAAATGAAGGATATGGTCTAGACTCACAAACAAAGGTTCTTCACTTGCACTTATTTATTCTCTCATACTCTTCATTCCTTTCTCTTATTGTTCCTTAGTCTTATATACTCATACTTCAAACTTACCCTTCATCCAAATAGACCATAAGATGCTTTCATGCTCTCCTTGTAGTAATTTAAATAAGGGGTCTTTCCAACTTCTGGACAATCTTATTGCAATACTGCCTCACAAGACCAAATTAGATGCCATGTTAGCTCTGTACAAAAAGTTTGGGTGAATTCCTTCAACAGCAACAACAAACCCAGTGAAATCCCAGGGAGTGAGGGAGTGGGGTCTGGAGAGGGTGAGGGTACAAAAACCTTTCTCCTACGAGGAAAGTAGAGAGACAGCTTCCAAGAAACCCCAAACTCGCAACTAAAGGAACATTCAAAAGCCAAAAATTTGAAAAAAGAAAAGAAACTAACATACATGCAAAAGCAACAAACTAAGGCAACAAGTCATACACATGGGTAAAACACTACCCAAAAGTCTATCCTATTATTATCCTAATTCTAGACCTCCAAATGTTCCTATGGTCATACACTTCGTAAGATCTTGAAAATGTAGAGGAGTTTTAATCACCTCTTTTCAACTCTTCTGTGGTCATCCTTTACCCCTCATCGTGCCTCCTTCCACAAGCTCCTAGCACCTTCTCACTAGAGCATAAGTATCCCTCCTCAGTATATGCCCAAACCATCTCAATCTAGTTCCTTGCAGCTGTTCCCCCACAAAAACCACTCTCACCCTCTCCAGAATGCCTTTGTTCCAGACCACACATCCATCTGAGCATCTGCCTACTACCTAGAGCTTTCGAATGTGTGGGTTCTATATCACCTAACGCCCCAACACTCGAATCCATACAACATAGTTGGTCTGACTATAGATGGATAAAACTTCCCTTTCAGCTTTGTTGAAATCCTAATGTCACAAAACATACCTGGAGCAAGCTTCCACTTCATCCAAGATTCCAAGTGCTTCCAATACAATACACAATATCCTCATCTATCTCTCCATTGGCCTAAATGATGAATCCATAGAAGCAAAACTTATTTCCTATTAGGTACTAGATGAGTATCAATCTTCACTTCCATTTTTGACTCCGCAATCAAACCCCTAAAGCAACACTCAACATATTGGCTTAGTCATTCTCAATTTTAAACTTTTTTATTCCAAGGTTTGTCTCCACACCTCATCACCTCCAACCTAACATGAAGTCTCTCATGTGTCTCGTCAATCAGAACAATATCACCCACAAAGAGCATGCACCAAGGTACCCCCTTGAATATCTCACCTCAAAACATCCACCACCAAGGCAAACAGGAAACGACTAAAAGCAGACCCCTTATGTAAGCCCATCTCTACTAGGAAGTAATCTAAGTAACATCCAAACAACCTCACCATGGTCCTTGCCACATCATACATGTCCTTAACATCTTGTAAGTAAGCAACAAACGAGCTTTTATGCTCTAGGCACCTGCATAAGATCTCGTTGGGAACTCTTTCATTCACCTCTAAGTCAATAAACATCATGTGTAAGTCCTTTTTTCTCTCCCTATACTGTCCCATCAACCTCCTAAAGAGGTGAATAACCTTTGTGGTTGACCAACCAAACATGGTACCAAATTGATTCTCGAAAATGTGCACCTCCTTTTGAAACTCTGGCACTACTACTGTTCCCCGGCCTTTATAATGTGACTAAAAGTAACTCGATGCCTCTATAAATAGTGTAGTTTTGAATATCACCTCTGTCCATACACAACAAGATTACCACACTCTCCCTTCATCATGGTAGTCAACGTCGCGATCTGACTCGTACGATTCTACGAGTCCAGAGATCGCCAGCACCTTTCTGATTCAACTCGCCTTCAGAATCGGGAAAGTTATGGTCGGATATTGGATCCAGATCATGCAATCGCATAATCGCAACAGATTGGCGATTGTGAGAAGTCCCAAGACCAAAATGCAGTGTCGCTTCAAAATCCAATTCCAATCGCGACTTTGAATTTGTCGGAAATTTGAATCGGAACGTCGCGTTGACTCCCAAAGACCAAAACGCAGCGTCAATTCCAGTCGCGACTCTCTTCCAATTCCAGGCTATTATTTATCTGCTTCTATATATTTGCAATTATTTATCTGCCGATCTACGACTCCCAATTATAGGAGTTGGATGTCAGCAATTCGGATGAAGAGGAGTTGGATGTCACCAATTTGGATGAGGGAGATGAAGATCAAGAACTTAAGGATTATAAGTTAGCATTGATAATTATGTTTTAGATGTTTAAGAATAAAGTTTTAAGTCATTTGTGATCCAACTTGAACTTGTGTTATGTTTTATTAAAATTTAATTAAAACACACACACACACATATATACAGTAGATTTATCTGCTTCTATATATTTGCAATTATTTATCTGCCGATCTACGACTCCCAATTATAGGAGTTGGATGTCAGCAACTCGGATGAAGAGGAGTTGGATGTCACCAATTTGGATGAGGGAGATGAAGATCAAGAACTTAAGGATTATAAGTTAGCATTGATAATTATGTTTTAGATGTTTAAGAATAAAGTTTTAAGTCATTTGTGATCCAACTTGAACTTGTGTTATGTTTTATTAAAATTTAATTAAAACACACACACACACACACATATACAGTAGGATCTTACAATCTGAGTCACGATCTTACGATGTTAAGATCTTCATTACGCTTATCGGTCCTACGTAGAATCTAGAGTTTGACTACCATGCCCTCCATTCATCAACCATCATAGTTGTCTTAAAAATTACGTTAAACAACATGGTGATCCACAGTTTCACACCAAGTCGTCAACTCATCTCTGCCCACAATCTTCCAAAACTCCACCAAGCTCATACATGATCCCAAAGCTCTCCCTTGTTTCATCTTGCCAATAGCTAGCACCGCCTGTTCTGGTCTAATGCCACGGCAATGTCAAAAATCTCAATGACTCTTAGAGTGTTAGACTCCGTTATCTCACCTAAAAAAAGACTTGCATCCCCTCAAACATTTAGAAGGCTTTGAAAGTATAACTGTCTTCAGTCTCTTACCTTTGTTGCATCGATCAAAATCTTGTTATCTTCACCTTCAACACACCTCACTTGGTTCAGATCTCGCGTCTTCCTCTCTCGAACATTAGCTAGCCAAAATAAGTCTGTTCTCTCATTCATTGTTTTCTAAGCCTTTATGTAGACATTCAAAAGCTGCATTCCGATTGTTTCAAGCAATCTCATACTCCTCTCGGACCGACTCCCTATCCTCCTACTCTTCATGAGCCTCTTATAGGCCACTTTCTTGGCTTTAAATTTTCCATGAACATTACCATTCCATCACCAGTCCCCTCTAAACCAGTTCTCATTACCCCTAGCAACTTCTAACACTTACTAAGCTAATGCTATTAACAGTCTTAGACCACATGAGAAGAAGCTCCCAACTAGTCCCCCAAGCGCCTTTCTCTTATACCCTAACAACCAACTATGGGATCTTCTCTTCATCTAAGTTACGCCAACAAATGCCTGAAGGGCCACCAGAGGTTTGCCTCTTCCTCTCCCACCTGATCGAGATATCGATCACAAGTAGCTTATTATGGGTTGTAAGATTGTCACTCAGGATGACTTTAAAGTCATTGCGAGACACCTTATCATACCTTCGTAAGAGAGTTAGAGAACATAATCATTCAGCAACTTTGCCACTCAACTGCAAAATGTCACCAAGTGCATGTCTTGCTTCTAGAAGAAAAAGTTAGCGATCACCAAGTCGTTCATTCTAGCAAACTCCAAGAGTGAACATCATCATAACCCTCTACTGCACTGCTAATGTGACAACTGAAATTGCCTCCAACGATGAGATTATCTAATTACAAGATACCACATCCCCCCCCCAACTACCCCATCCAATTCCTCCCACAATTCTCGCTTAACTTCATTCAGAACTATTTGGGGTGTGTGGGCACTGACAATGTTGATAGCACACCCCCAATCACTAGTTTAATCACCATCGGTCACCGATCACTATTCTTTCTCAACTCAAACACGAGCTCACAGAGATCCTTATCAACCAAATTGCCACTCACTAGAAGTAAGGGTGCATTAGGTTTGGATTCATGGAAAACTTGACCCTGAATTTTATAATGAAATGTTTTTGAATTATATGTTTTGGTACCAGAATGTAGAATGATTTCGGTCGTGTATTCATTTGGTAATTAAAAAAATAGTTTACTAAGGTTAGTTGAATAGAATCTGTTGGTTATTTTGAGATGTTGGGACGAAAATATGCAAAATCTATCAACAAGGCTGCAGAATTAGCTTTTAAAAAAGCTAAGCCAGATGACTCCAAAGCATATTCTCATATTCAATGCAAATATGATTTTTTTCAAAATCTAAAACAAATGCTTCATTTAGCTAATTTTAAAATGAGAATTGACAGAATTTTGTTCTCAAAATTAGAGCCAAATGGGTTCATTTTTGCAGTCAAACTGGACAAATTTTGATCATCAATTAAATAAAAAATCTATTACATACTAATACAAAAATGATTTCATTATATTTATCATGCAAGAGAATAAAAACTTTCATGAATCTCATTGCATTAATATGCAATGTAATTTTTATTTAATTGATTATCAAAGTTAGTCTAGTTTAACAAATACTATAGGATGAAGGGAGTATTTGTTTTGAATTTTGAGTAAACTGAGATGAATAATTTTGTTCCTAGAATCCAATTAAATGAAATAATAGTGTTTGATCCTTTGATTTTTCAAACTCAACTAATTCTTAAATAGCTGGTTTTGAGAATGAGATATTGCCAAAAGCAGAAACCAAAAGAAAGAAAATCAAGAGTAATTTTAAAAAACACACACAGAAAACTCACAGAGTCATGAGTCAAGTAGGTGTCGCAATAGTCACAGTAGTACCTGCACAAAAAAAAAAGTAAATACGAAGAAATTATCATTACAAGTAGATATTCGCCAGAAACGGAATATGGAAAAACGTTTACCACAAAAAAAAAACATAAATTGCATACCGAGGCATTTTGATGTGAGACGGATGAAGCTCGGCGGCTCAATGAGATGGAAACTTTATCGCAGCGGTATATCCCTCCGGCGAGGCGACTCGCTTGACTTAGTAATATCAGATTAAAGGGTAAAGTATGAAAGAAGCTTTATTGTGTGTTGCACAGAGCGAGTGATTAGGGTCCTGAGACTCCTGAGGATGTAAGGAGCACGGAGGACGAAAAGAATTTTCTGGAGAGCTGAGTTAGCCCAATCTTTGAATTTGGCTAGGGTGAATTTGGGACTTGGGAGGAAAGGTTTTGAGGAGAAATGAATTGGATCTGATTTGATCTGATCTGGTCTAATTGGATCTAATCTGATTAAAATTAAAATTAAAATTATTTTTATAATAATACTAATAATAATAATAACAATAATAATAACAATAATAATAATACTAATATAATCATAATAGTTATATTAATAATAATAATAATAATAATTATAGTAATAATAATCATAATAATTATATTAATAATAATAATAATAGTAATAGTAATAATCATAATAGTTATAATAATAATAATAATAACAGTAATAATAATAATATTAATAATAATAATCATAGAAATATTAATAATAATAATAGCAATAGTAATAGTAATAATTATAATAATAATGATAATAAAAATAGTAACGATAATAATAATAATAATAATAATAATAATAATAACAAAAATAATTAGTCATGTTTAAAGACAACAAGGTTGAATGGGCATCCGAAGTGAATGTTGTTGAAAAGTACGACATTTTGTAATGAATTTTTGTTTATTTATTTTTTCTAATTTTCATTTAAATTTTAAAAATTACTTTCTACCTCCATTTCTTTTTCTTTTAAAGATTAGTCTTACCTTATAAAAATAAAAAAAATAGATATAAAAAATAAAAAATGAGAAAAATAACTAAAATCATAGAAAATAAATGAAATAAATATGGTAATCAATAGAAATTAAACTGAAAATGATAATAAATAAAATGAATGTTTACGGAGTGGTGGATTTTAGAGTTAAACTAACCTTTAAAAAAAGAAAAAGAAACGATAGAGGTAGAAAGTAATTTAAAAAATTTAGATGAAAATTTCAAAAAAATAAAAAAATTTAATTTCATTAAAAATAAGTTCAACTTTCATTTTGTTGCGCAAAACAGGCTGTTTCCGTTAACTCACCGTTAGCAACTTAACGACAACCCAAAACTCGTACATTGAATAAAGATAGGACTATTATGCATCAGAGTGAAGGTGGCATTATTTTTTAAAGATCGAATAAAGTTGGAATTATTCAAAATAATTTTTCTTAAATGAAATATAAGAAATGAGCACGTGTACCCCTGTGGTTTAGAAAATACACACCAACACCCCCTCTTTCTCAGAAAATGATCGGAGGGGTATAGGCGTAACATTTTGGAACCACAAAAATTTTAAAAATAAGCTTCGAAAATAGGGAAGTTTTGTGCTGATTAAGGAAACCACGTGGGGCACTGACGCTATTTGGCCAAAAATAAAATAAATTTAGCCCCCGCGAAACCACAGCAGTGAGGGCCCCACACTCGGGCATTGGGCCCCACCACAAAGACATCAGGCCCTTTACCTGCAATGGGGGCTCGCAACACGCCCTGTTCGTCTCCCGTTGCAAATGGTTGGATAAAAATTTTAAAAGGACAAATTAGATAAAGGGACTTAAACATATCCGTTTTCAACCAGTACCATGTACTCTAACATTTGAAAATGAAAAATTCTAAAATGCTCTGTTTTTAAGAAAAAATGACCAATTGCGCAATTCAAGTAGAATAAGACATCATTAAAAATAATTTGAATAGTCATTGAAATAATCAGTAGTTATCTGACATTTGTCAATGCCGCATTTATAAAGTCATTTGTATAATCAGTCATTATTCAACACTTGTTGCTAATGAAGGCATATATACTTTATCATACTCCCTCCGTCCCTAAATATTTGCCACATTTGTATTCCCGATGCAAAATATCAAGTTTTTTCAATTCATTTTATTTATATATTGGTATAAAAATAAAAAATAAAATTTACATATTAAAAAACTACATAAAAAGTTCTTCGAAATAAGAGATGTCAAGAATATTTTATTTTATCAAATAACCAATGAAAACGTAGAAATAAACAAAAGTTCTCGCAAATGCTGAAAAAGCAAATGTTGCAAATAATTTGGGACGGAGGGAGTATGAAAAATTATGTACTACGGAGTATATAGAAAATACAACATACAGAAACATAGTTCTTTTTAGTCGGCAAATTTCTCATTTTAAAATACTTTCTCATGCTTGGGGGGATCAGCCCGGAACACATGCCAGAGCACTAGAGCAGAGCATATCTTCTAAAAAAAGGGAGGGATTGAAATGAATGGTGTATTGAATTAACGCATGACGCTGATCGAAAATTACAACGAACTATTCAGCATTTATTCAAATGGACCAAAAACATGACCACAAAATCAAAGCAGAAATAGACAAATATGGATATGTAGGATATGTCGATTTTTGGTACGTTCTTCGATTTCTAGCCGGAGATCTGAACGTTCTTCACTTCGGGCTTCTTCTCCTCCACCTTTGGGACGGTGACAGTGAGGACGCCGTTCTCCATCGCCGCCTTGACCTGGTCAACCCTGGCATTCTCCGGCAGCCTGAACCGCCTGAGGAATTTCCCGCTGCTCCTCTCCACGCGGTGCCACTTGTCGCTCTTCTCCTCCCTCTCCTTGCTCCGCTCGCCGCTGATCTGCAGCACCCGGCCTTCTTCCACCTCCACCTTCACCTCCTCCTTCTTCAGCCCCGGGACGTCGGCCTTGAAGACGTGAGCCGCCGGCGTCTCCTTCCAGTCAATGCGGGCATTGGCGAAGGCAGACGTCTCCCGAGCGGGCTCGCCGCCGGTGAAATTGGCCAGCGTGTTGGAAAACAGAGGGTCCCACAGCTCCATGGAGAACGGATCGAAGACGTTGCTCCGGCGGCCCTCGAAGAAGCTCGGAATCAGAGACATGTTTGATTTTCACGACGGTGAATCTGAATCGGAAGATTGAAATTAATTAAGAGCTTGAGTGCAATAGGAATGAAATCTGGAGATTCAATTGTTCTATGGATGGGGAAAAATGGAGAGCAGTAAGAATTTATAGTGTGAAAAAGGAAGGTGATGGAAGGAAGGAGCATGAAAATGGTGGTGCGTTCTTCCATGTTCCGGGTCCTTCTTTTATCTTCTACACACTTCTACTCAATCCTGTGAGGAACAAACGAAAACGACAGCTAATTTTCTCTCTTTCCAAAATTTCCTTTCCACATTTGGTTCATCTCAACCAGATTTTAACCCGTGCAATTGACAATAAGTGATGGATATCGGGTCTGATGAACCCGACTCCAGGCCCAATAAAGGCCCGCAACCGTGTGAAGTGGACAAGTCCAGATACAATTAGCGGATTGAGCCCGCTAAGACGCGAGTGGCGAATAGAGAGGACGGCCCATGGGCCGAGTTAAAATGACCCAGTCCGAGGAAGGAATGGGACACGTGGCCCACACCACCAGAGGGCGAAATGGGAAGAGAACGAGACCGGAAAAGAGAAAATCACAACCCCATGATCTCCATAATTCCTCCCATTATATGTAATTTTAATTAAGAAATTAGAAGTACTATAAAAGGGGAAAGAATCCGCCATTGTAAGGGGGACCCAAGCAATTACACACTTAATGAAAGAATATTATTGAGTGAATACATCTTTCTGGTTCATATTTCGTTCTTGGTCCGCCATCTGATCGGGTTAATCCCATCAGTAAGAATATTAATATAATAAATTATGTAAAAAGTATCATCTTTTTCATTAAAAAAAAGTCAAAAAATAAGTAACTTAGAGCATCTCCAACCATGCTTTTTATATGAATTTGCTATTTTTACATTATAGCAAGTGAATAGTGATATAGCAAGCACTTTTTTGCTTCATTCTCCAACCATTATTTGTTATTTCATTTTTTAAGTATTGGCTAGATAAATTTTGAGGGACTTGTCATATTTAGCAAACCAAATTCATTTTTGGCAAACTTGCTAAAATAAAGCATGCCCTTTGGAGAAGAACAAGTGTTTAACTAGTTATATTATACTCCCTCCGTCCCTGAGTGTTTGTCCACTTTCATTTTTGCACACTATCCAATGCACTTCTTTAATCCATTTTATCTTGTAATTTGTACATTAAAAAATTATAAAATTATATATTAATAATCTATATGTTAAGACGAATCAAACAAGATCACACATGACTATTTTTAGGCTTACACATTGAGAGAATTTGATGAGACAAAGTGCTTAGATGAACAGTTCCAAAAGTCAAAAGTGGACAAACACTCAGGGACAGACCAAGTAACTTTTAGCAAGTTAAAATGATATGATTGGAAATGCTCTTAAAGTAGTTCTCCTTAAGATTGTGGGTTGTGGAACCGGGACAAAAGACGTGGCATCTGGTCCCGAACGGGAACAACCCCCCACCCCCCGCCCCAATCGAGACTCGGCTTGGCCAGCGTTTGAACGCCTACTCTACAAGCTCCTTCTTCTTCTTTTATAAATAAACTTCTTCAAATTTTCACTTTTTAATTTTTTATTTTCTAGTTTTGAATTTTTTCAGATCTAATTTTGTTTTTTATTTTTTAATTATATTTTTTAATTTCAAATTTTGTTTTAGTTTTGTTTAAAAAATTATACTACCTCCGTCCCTGAGTATTTGTCCAATTTTGACTTTTTTCGGTCAACCGTCTTTTATCTTTGACCTATAATTAAGTAAAATATATATTATATATTGATTAGATAAAATCATATTTCGAAAATATTTGATATGCTAAATGTAATAAAACTATTTTTCTATCAATATCGAATATCATTTTGATTTAATTTGAGGTCAAAGTTTACCAATTTTGACCGAAAAAAGTCAAAAGTAGACAAATACTCAGGGACGGAAGGAGTATAAAATATTATAAAAGTATTGTGTAAAAATAATAATTAAAAAAGATTTGAGGTGGAATGATGATAAAATTGTTAGAAAATCGTTTGGAGGAAGAACGCTGCAAAGCAGTGTTGACAGAATATATTTAACGAAGAAACAGATGAATTTCTTGACAGTAACAAATCGAAAAAACGCTTTCAGATCAAAGTTATTTTGGGGTATACCAAAATACTTTAATCGGATAAGACGTTAATCAAGAATAGCACTTCGAATCAATTCTCAACCATACCAGTGGAAATCTTTTATAGAGTCGAAAAATCTTAAGATCAGACATGAACGTTCGCATAAAAGATATGAACGCTCGCGCGTAAAGATAGACACGGAAGTCCTGTGATTATTCTCTCAAAGAGTTTTCTGCGATTTTAGGGTCAAGTTTTGACGTTTTATCCATGCGTCCAAATGTTTAAAGTTTCGGAGTCCGTTCATGAAAATCTGAAGGATTTTCATAAAGCAAAGGGGCTCTGCCTCTTGGACATCGCCAGGGGCTGCCGCCCCTTGGTCTCCGCTCCCAGAGGATGCCGCCCCCGAACCCCTCGCAATGAAATTGTAATATCATTGAACGAGTTCGCACTCCGCACCTCCTAACTCGTTTGACAACGTCTATTTAAATTCTTGTCTGATCTAAGTAAACTCAATCAAACAAAATAACCAATGACACTAAAATCACCAACAAAAATAGAGAAAGCTAATGTGCCGATAAGTTAGAAATGAGGATGGTGGGGATGGTGGATGATGACACCTAGGGGTGTTCATCGGGTCAAACCCGGACCGGACCGGCCAGACCGGGACCGAATAAGGGGCATTTGGTGGACCGAGGACCGGACCGATTAAGCTAAGGACCGGCCCGGGACCGGACCAGTAAAACCCGGACCGGACCGGGACCGGACCGAATAAATGTTATTTTTAAATTTTTTTTTAAATTTGATTTTATTTGTTTAATTTAAAGTATTCAATTGAATAAAAATATTACTACAACTAATTTTTAATTGTAACATACTCTAAACATTGTCAAACACATTTGTTTTGAATTTTTAAAAAAACTTTAAACAAAATATATATCTTCTATCCGTATTACATAAAATTTGTTCGTAATTTTTATTTTTTACATAGAGAATATTCTACTTCTTTGTTCATATTTGTTTTTTTGTAATATTTTTTTGAGTTTTCGATTTATTTTGACAAACGGATACGTTTTTTACTATTTTTGTTCATGAGATTGTTTACAATGTTTGTTTTTGCAGATTATCGTTTCATTATTGATAAAGTACAAATTTAAGTGATAGTATTGGTATATAAATTTGAAATGCATTAGATCGCTAATATAAAGGTAATGTTTACTTTTTCACACTTTTCATATTTAAAATATATAAAAATCATTAGAATTGGCATCTTATTTTGAATTGAAAATGTATTTAAAAAATTATATTAAATAATAAAATAAAAACATTTAAAAAACTTTTAGTATTAAAGTTAAATTAATTTTAGGCATAAGAAAAAACCTTAAAAAATACAATATTATAATACTATATAGAAAAAAATATTTAAAAAAAATAAAATGTAACCGGTCCACCGGTCCGGACCGAAACCCGGTGGACCGGACCGGACCGGAACCCGAATAAGGAAAAATTGAGGACCGAAGACCGGACCGAATAAGGACCGGTCCGGACTGGTCCAGACGGGTTTTGGCCGGGTTTCGGGTCGGTCCGGGTCCGGACCGAATAATGCACACCCCTAATGACACCCCTAGCCTAAGGCTTTGCACATCAGGCACCAAGAGAGTCGAGACCCTCGCCAAGCGCCCAAAAAAAGAAATAAATACTATCATTGAAAATATTTTACTTGATTTTAAAATAATTATTTTTATATATTTAGGATTTTGTTATCTTCTTCTTATCCCTCTCCAAAGTTAAAATCTTTTGGTGATTTTCCAAATCAAACCTTTCATTTTCTTCTTTTCCAACGACAAGTGAAAGATTAAAGAGATGTTCTATTATGATCCTAAAATCCATATATAAAATATAGATCTTCTCACATTTTTCATGGGCTGGCAAGTAAATCTTTTTTTGTAAGGATCCAATCCTTTTATGATATGAATACACTAAAATCCATAAAATGAGCATTATCCTTAGAACTACGTAAGAATTTACCAAGATTTTTTAATTACTTAGATTTTCTAATGAATTCAAGGTTTTTTATTTTGATATACATGCATATTAATTTAGAAATTTACGTACACGTCCCCATTCAAGATCGTTTTGGGTCATCAAACCAGTTCAATTGATTAACCATAGTCAGTATTTGATCCAATTTTTCCTCAAACAAGATTTAAGAACTCGCATTTGAGCGCAAAGTATATCGTACAGTCGGCTGTACGGGAAGAACCGTACAACCGACGGAAAATAAGCGGCAGATGCAGACGATCGAAAAAGGCGCGACAGATGCAGACGATCGAAGAAGGCCGGCGAAGGAGAGGCGACGACAAAGGGAGGCGCGGGGAGGAGGCCAAAACGATGGAGAATGGCAGGACGAGGGAATGGCGATGGTGGCGGCGACTTTACAGTAGAAACCCTAGGTGTGATTGAAGAGATGAGATTGGAATGAACCGGATATAAGAAGATCCGACTAAAAGGGTAGCGATGAAGAAGCTTGACGATGGTCCTCAACTTTTCAATTGTGACAGAATTGAACAATACCTTATTTCAGAATGAGCATTTCCTTAATTGAGAATGAGTATTGTTTTTTTTAAGAATGAACACTACGCTATTTATTATAATTAGATTAGACAAATTTATAAAAATGAGTACTTCTTTATTTTAAAATGAGTACTACCTTTATCAGAATGAGTACTACGTATTTCAAAATGAATGTTTATATTTGTACGAGAATGAGTACTACTTTATTTCAGAATGAGTACTACCGGGATGTACCTATCTCTAGGTAGGTCTGAATGTACCATATATCTTCTCACGTTTGAGTCTTCTATTTGCAGAAGAGTAATTTACAGGAATAGGACCTAAACATTCATCTTTTCCCTAAATAGGAGTCGTCCTATGTGACCCAACGTTCCCTTAGGTGAAATGACCACAATAGCCTCCACAATAAACTTTAGTAAGCCTTAATGATAACAATAATCTCGCTGAAAGAATCGCTAAAGAAAAGGCGATAATATCGGGTTGGGGGAAGCAGCGCACTACTTACGGTGTTGATGCAGAATTCTTTACATGAAGATATTTTTCCGATTTTACCAATTAGGTCATAAACAATTGAATTTCAAAAGCCGGTGGAACCCCGATTGAAGAAAACGATGTTAAAGATGAGTGCTACGGCGAAAAAATTGTGTCCGGCAGCGCGCTAGGGACGACGATGACTTTGTTGACGAAATGCCACTTATAAAGACTAGAAATTAAGTGAAGAGCACATCAAAGCGAGTAAGTTCGTGCTTTTTAATATTCAGTGTGATAAATCACAATATATGGCATATTCTCGATTGATACAATCATGCATGTGTGATGTTTGTGATAATGTCTGTTCAATTGGTATGAATTTTGAATTGTTCCTGGAGAATGATATTCAAGGCATTATAACTAGAAAAATGTTTGATTTTGGATTATCTTCAAAGCTGGTTATTAACTCCCAATGTTGGTATTTGAATGAATTGAAATAGTTGGTTATTGCTTAGCATTTAGCATTTTGTCTTACTTACACAGATGGAGAATGAAATCTAGGGCAATATGATGAGTGAAAACTGTTGGATTGAATAAATAGAAATTGGTTAAACATAAAGTGACTATAGGTTAATGACCACATTGAGAACTGGTGTGAATTAGGAGTTGCACCAAACAAGGGGGTTTGAATAATTTAAGTATGTAGAAAATTTGGGTAGTGGGGGATATGTATGATTGACCTAGGTGTACCAGGT